TACTCAACTTACAAGTGGGTACATTATAATTGTATAGACTTGAGTTCATAGCTTGAGTATAAGAAATGAAAAAATGACATTGTACTGATGATTGTAGGTCTTTATAATAATAATATGTATTAGCTCGAATGAGACCAAGAGAAGTACCAGCAGCTCCCAATGACACTAGAAGTATCACAAAAGTGACTACCGAAAAGATTTGCTTGACTGTGGATGCTCCAGGCATGCTTGTATGAAGATATTGTCTGCACTAATAATATTTAAGTTATTAGATCTATCTCTTTATATTCATGAGAAGTTTAAAGAGCCACTCCTCCATCACAAGCACTATAAGTTTTTCATATCAACGATTAGCTTTACAATTACTAATGCTGGTTTGTTTATACATACAGTATAATGCAGTGAATGTTTTGTTATTACTAACATGTTGCATAATAAATAAAGATGAAAATATAAACATACATTGTGTGTATGTACCAATTAAGTTGTTTATTTCAAAGTAGTTATTGTATATTTGCTGTACATGAATGTTATTATGCTAAACCATGATAAAGTAATTTCAATCAGTTTCAATTTCTTTGATGTACATCCATTAGTGACTGTATGCATATTAACTGCTTGTTTTTTTCTTTACTTTATAGCTCACCACATATCTACATGTATGCTTATAAACTTACCCAAATGAAATAATGCCCAAATTTTAATGTCTGAATATGATTATTGTTTTTATTGGTGGGAAGAAGGCTAGCTCTGGCTTTCATTTTATGCATGGCATCCCTACTCTATAAAATACCATTACTAGCTACACTATACCTAATTTATTGTGAACACAGCATGTTATGCATGTATGGTTTTGTAACTGATGCCGATATAGACATTTTTATGACAGTTTGTCTGTGACAGACATACTCGCGTAATAATAATTTGTGGTCTGTTAATTGTTACAAGCATATGAAGGAAAGAATTTTCCATCTTTATAATTTTTCTGATGCTATACAGGTACATGTTCTTGTGTTGCATAGAAATTTTGATGAATTTTTGCTCAAACTTGTCAAACTCTGTCAAAAATTACTGCACTACATGTACTTATCAAAGTTAATTCTGATTAAATTTGGATTTTAATTTTTTGAAATTGCTTTAAATTGGGACCAAAGTCCCTGTACTATAGCACAGTTAAAATGGCTATAGGCATCTACTAATTACTCCAATCCTGACATTATGTTGTTATAGTGTTACTAATAATGTATTTTTGTGTGTGTCCTTCACCCATATCTTATAATCAAAGTAGATTTTATCAGCAGTTATTATATGCTCTTCTTACATATTATACGTCTGTATGCATTTGTTAGTACATAATGGCATTTCATGTCGCTCACTAAAACAGGATTGCATCAATTTCAATGCTTTAAAAGTCTTGAGATAACTTTATCTGCTAATAATATTTAAATTGCATAATTTATAATGGATAAACACCTCCTATGAGGTGTTTACAAATTCCATAAGAGCCTCATAGGAGGTGTTTATCTGTTTTAAACATATTCATGGAGATTATAGTTATGACAAGTGGTTAATCAGGCTCAATTAAGCAAATGTACATACACTTGTGGTATTCTGTTGAATGGCTTCCATGTAGTGGTCTCCATGGCATTTGGACATCTCATTCATATCATTAACATCAAACAGAATTATTCATGAATTGTTTAAAGACTTTTTAAAGACCCTCTGGCAACTACCGTAGTACAGCATTCTTAAATGGCTATACATGTATTAAGCTTATAGAAGTGCAGTAGTTCCCCTGCAGCCCCATCAATCAGCCACTTGCCTATGGTATTTTCATAAAGATAGTGGAATCTTCCACATATATCATATTGCAGCAATTAGAAACTAAACTCTTAAAATTTATTTGTAGCATAATATGCCCACGTAAATTAGAGAGTGCAAGCGACATCTATAGGAGTGGCATTAATTGAATTGTAGCATTCCGTTATTACCACATTCATCAATGCAACAATATTTGTGAACGCTGGCTATTAATTTAAAAGAAATTCCTCACTCCAAAAATTAATCAATAAGAATTAGATGTATCACTAAAA